TCTTTCTTTCTTTCTTCTTTCTTTCTTTTTCTTTCTTTCTTTCTTCTTCTTTCTTTCTTCTTTCTTTCTTTTTCTTTCTTTCTTTCTTTCTTCTTTCTTCTTTCTTTCTTCTTTCTTTCTTTCTTCTTTCTTTCTTTCTTTCTTCTTCTTTCTTTCTTCTTTCTTCTTTCTTTCTTTCTTCTTTCTTTTTTTCTTTCTTCTTTCTTCTTTCTTTCTTTCTTTCTTTCTTTCTTTCTTTCTCTTTCTCTTTCTCTCTCTCTCTCTCTCTCTCCTCTCTCTCTCTCTCTCCTCTCTCTCTCTCTCTCTCTCTCTCTCTCTCACACTCACTCACTCATTCACTGCGTGTCGTTAAAGGTACTAAGTACAAAGTACTAAGTACTAAGTATACGAGGTTCGTCCCCAGCGCCTGTAGATGAACGCTGATCAGTCAGCCGGTGTTCGGAGCCCCTTTCCGGTGTCTGCGGGGCGCCAGCTGGCGGCTCCGGCTGCAGCAGTCTGGGCTACGTTACTTCCTGCGGGGTGAGGTGCCCCTTCCCCGTGTCAGCGGGGTGCCAGCTGGCGGCTCCGGCTGCAGCAGTCGGGGCTACGTTACCTTCCTGCGGTGTGAGGTGCACCACCAGCACTGCGCGCGACACAAACAGCTCACCGGCCGTCTCCTGGCTCTGCCCAACAAACAAACAACCAACAGAGCACGGTCAGTGCCAGCACTGCGCGCGACACAAACAGCTCACCGGCCGTCTCCTGGCTCTGCCCAACAAACAAACAACCAACAGAGCACGGTCAGTGCCAGCACTGCGCGCGACACAAACAGCTCACCGTCCGTCTCCTGGCTCTGCCCAACAAACAACAACCAACAGAGCACGGTCAGTGCCAGCACTGCACGCGACACAAACAGCTCACCGTCCGTCTCCTGGCTCTGCCCAACAAACAAACAACCAACAGAGCACGGTCAGTGCCAGCACTGCGCGCGACACAAACAGCTCACCGGCCGTCTCCTGGCTCTGCCCAACAAACAAACAACCAACAGAGCACCGTCAGTGCCAGCACTGCGCGCGACACAAACAGCTCACCGTCCGTCTCCTGGCTCTGCCCAACAAACAACCAATGGAGCACGGTCAGTGCCATCTGGAACTGTCCAACCAGCAAACAGCAAGCACACACACAACATAACCTAGTGATCGGCCGCCCGCAGCCAGCCGACGCGCTCACGTCTGTGTAATAGCCTATGGTCGGTTACATTGAACTCAATTAAAACAACCTGTGTATAGAAGCAAAAAAAGCACCGTGTATGTAAGCAAAAAAAAACTGAATTATAGCCTGTTCAGTTGAATTATGACCCGTAGTCAAGTTATATAAAAATTGGCATAGCAATTGGCATAACGTATAACCAGGTGAATGGCCTCTTTAACCAGACCAGTGTTCTCTCCCACCAGGTCACTGAACTCTGTCACCAGACCAGTGTTCTCTCCCACCAGGTCACTGAACTCTGACAGCAGACCGCCGTCACCTCTCACTGGCCCACAGAAGTTCAGGCAGTTGAACGGTGTGCTGAGCATTGTTAATAAGATCATTAGAAGGATGGAGAATAAGCTGCTGCTCATTTCTATCAAAAATATAAAGTAAACCAGTATATATTCGGGTGTGGCCCTTCCTCAGTGGTAAAGATCACCATAAAACAAGAGAGACGTATGTGACACACGTGAGGCAATATCCAACATTTTGAATTAAATCACTCACAGATATTTTGCATGCACTTCCAAAATAGGCGTCGGTCTAGATTTCGGTAATGACAAATAGCAATATAATATGTAAATGGTTGCACAATATAGGTACAGTTCAATATGATACAGTACGTACGCTCGGTTTTAATCTTGCATTACATATTAGCCTTTTCACGACGGGCTATCCGGCGAATGCACCTGATTTGACCAAATCTGCACCTAATTTCTTTTATAGCAAATATCTTCCTTTTGTGAATTTATTTCAGTGTTTTAACCCTCGCCGGCCGAGGGGGGGGCGGCACCCGACCCCCCATAGGTTTTTTCACGATAGCCCCGAACACGCTGGCGATAGAGAGCTGACACTTGGCATACCTGACCTTTGATTCAAGCCGGATCTTTTGACACCAACCGTATTTTCGGGTCAGGTCAGGTCACTGACCTATGACGTCATAAGTGAACCTCTGCACGGTCTTCAGATGTCGCAACTTCGCAACGCCCTCACTGCCAGAGGAAATGTCACAGGAAAATGAAACTTGCAAGATCTAGTATCCATTATGAGTCTCACAGCTTGTATTTCTCGGATTTTTTTTCCTAAAGGTCATATGAGGTCAGGTCATTTTCGTGACCTCACCATTATAAGTCAATGGGGAAAAATGAAAACTGCTATTCTGGCGCCGGGAACGATCTTCAACTATCTCAAGCCCACAGAATCGTGATTTCATGCATTCCTTGCAAGGCTAGATGCGTCACTTTTGCAATGTTGAACTTGCATGACGTCATTTATGACGTCATCAAGGTCATATTAGTTTTTCGTCAATAACTCCCGATCAAACTAAGCTAGCGAGTCGGGAAAGCCACCAATGGACTCAGGAAGACCTGTCGAATCAAACGATATGCGACATGACCTCTTTCGACCAACTTCGTGACCTGGGGGTGCTGACCTGGTCTTGACCTGAGGTCAACACCCTAAGTGACCTGACCCGAACAAATAGTATGTCATTCGACGCTCCTGAGCGAGACAAATACAATGCTGCCAAAATCGTGGTTCTGCGGCCGTTTTTGCGAAGTTATTCAACAAAAACTGAACCGTATCTTGGGGCACTTGACCTGACCTCAGGTCACCAGTTGACCTAGGACCTTAAAATGGAGTACAAATCTCTGCGTCTCGTAACGGCGCACACGCTCGTTTTTTCCGCGACGCGCTAGCTCCACCAGGGGCGAAACGGCGAGGGGGGTTCTTACCCGCCCCCCCCCCCACTTGGCAGGTGCGTATGTAGAAAACCGATAGGTCCGGCGAGGGTTAATCGGTGATGCTCTCTGATAATATGACAAAGCAGGCATATAAGCAATTAGTGCAACCCTAGCTAATAGCTGCTAAGAGACACACTGAACCTGATTTGACCAAATCTGCACTTAATCCGTACCAGATGTGCACCAATCGTGTACCAGATGGCCGTCGTGGAAACGGCTAATGTCAACATTTATATACCTAAATAGGTCAAAGGTTCAACGATTCATCGTCCTGTACATCCTCGCATAACATTTACCACAGTCTAGACTCATGCCAAAAATATCAATTATGGTATATTCGGGCACGCCCGAATATATGTTCGGGCGTGGCCCAGTGAGAAAGGGCCACGCCCGAATACATATCGGTCTATTTGTCTATTTCTGATAGAAATAAGCAACAGGATAGTCTTCATCCTTCTAATAGCCCACTGAAATCTCAGCAGCCCACTGACCTCTACAATTAGGGATATTTCACACTGACCTCTACAATAAGGGATATTTCAGACGGCGTGGTGACGTCATCGGGAATTTCCTTCACCAAGGAGAGGGCTGCACTGTCTGCGTCCAGAGCAAAGTACCGGGCCCAGTTGGCTGAAACAAACACAAACACAAACACAAACACAAACACAAACAAAAACATTACAAACGGCGTGCAAGCACTGACTGGGAAGAAAACAAAATATACTGCTGATAGACCGGCACATCGCAAAGTCGGCAAGAGCTAACTCTGATATGAAAATCCTGAAAATGGTATAATTCCTATCTCACAGTTTTGTTTGATGAGTGTGTAAGCGCCGGCGCACTGTTCAACGCATTATTATCATGTTGTCGTTGCTTTCCTTTTGTCTGGCTGATGTGACGTAGTGCACGACCTGTCACATGGCCGCCCGGCGCCGACCAATCGCGTGCCGTTCCGGCTCCAGCGCCGACCAATCGCGTGCCGTTCCGGCTCCAGCGCCGACCAATCGCGTGCCGCTCCGGCTCCAGCGCCGACCAATCGCGTGCCGTTCCGGCTCCAGCGCCGACCAATCGCGTGCCGTTCAGGCTCCAGCGCCGACCAATCGCGTGCCGTTCCGGCTCCAGCGCCGACCAATCGCGTGCCGTTCCGGCTCCAGCGCCGACCAATCGCGTGCCGTTCCGGCTCCAGCGCCGGCCGGGTATTCGGGGCGTGTCAGCGCAGCTCAGTGGGGGAAACTGGGGTCAAATCTTCCATTTTTGGAAGCCTTAAAACCCGCGCCCTGATGGGGGCCATTTTGGCCCCCCCCCCTGTGGTTTTTCTTAAAGGTAGTGTGCCACATTTGAAAGATTTCCCGTTTTATTTTTCCTAGGATAAGAAGCTTCTGTTTTTACCTAATATCGCAAAAAAAAAATCAAAAATGGGCTAGGAATAGTGCCTTTTTCGCCTAAAAGTTTATCGGTTTTTAGATATGTATAACAACTGTAGTGGGCTCACCTGCAAACAGGCGTCGGGCAACAATCGCGAATGCGGCGCACTTGTGACAATAAGCAAAGGTCATTATAGTGTTACGACCATACGACGTACGGGAATGAGTTATCAGCTGTCTAATCGTAGACAACACAATGTCGAGCCTTAAACTGTAAGCCTGTATTGGTATTGTTTCTTAAATTTGGCTGTCGAACATTAATTTGTGGTTTGAAATATGATTTTATGTAAAATAATTGATATGAAACAGCGTCTCTTAAGTTATGACCCCATTACACCACACGCAAGTGGCAGAAATGACAATGATCAGCTGACGCATTTTTCTTGGCCGAAGTCAGAGCGTGCGGCCCGACGCACCACGCGTATTTGGAAATTCCGACCTCGACGAGCATCAGAAGCCACCTAACAGGCGTGTTCGAAACCGCAGGAGATGATGATGAACGGGTTTATCGAAACTTGATTGGATGAGCCTATCGGTAATAGCGATTTTAGTGTGTGCATTTATTGTTCATAGTGGTGTGAAATGTGGTTGGGGTACGACCGACAACCCGTCGGGGCGAATTTTGCACTGGGGTACTCAAAATTTGAAGAATTTAAGACATTTCCATAAGTTTTGAAGGTATGGATAAGTTCTAAAAATCCGGTTCTCCATATCCGGGTCATTAACTCCATATGGTCCAAGAAAGCTGGCACACTACCTTTAAATAGCGAGAAAACGGCGGCACGCAGCGCCGCCAAGTTTTGGGTACCTTACCGGGCATCAATTTGACACCTTTACACAAAATTTCAAGTCACAGGTCACCTCAGGTCAGGAGTTATTGAGGTCAAACTGAGGTCATGTTCGAGTAAAAATGAGCAAAAACATGACATCTTGAAACGCTCACCAATTCTACAGTTAACAAACAATTTTAAAGTTCTTTAAGTGGTTGTGTAGAGAAAAGACGGCGCTACAAAACTGCTATCTCAGATTTTCGAAATTTTGGGATTTTGACCCCTAAACAAAATTGATTTCTTTAGAAAAACTCAAAGAATTTCCAAAAACTTTTCGAATTTCGAAAAAAAAAACGGAATAAATGTGATTGTAGCCGCCGACCACCTCAGGGCCCCGGATCTCGCGCCGACCGGTAGTGAAACGCGCTCTCCGCCTGTGCTGACCATATATTGCTCGTAGAGCAGCAAACAGAACGGATCAAAGCGAAGCGGTTTCTGGAATCGAAACAAAGGAAACTTAACATATGACCAAATGAACACCAACCAAACGAATACGCAGACACAACAAAGCAAAGAAAAACAAATCGGCAAACAATCTCACAAACATGAACTAATTTCCGAGGTCAAAATCGCTCACTCACCTACACGGTGCGCCCTTGCACTCCAAACGTCGAACGGCTGAACCAAGCCAAACACGAACAAACCCATCAGATACGCGGCACGCTAACGCCGCCGCGACTGGCCAACCAAGAATGGGCGCTGCCCCGCCGGCCGCCCCTCCGCTGACCCAGAAGGGTGACGTGGCAGCCGGCAGGTCAGGTCACGTGACCGTAGAGGTCACCGGTCAGTAGTAGTACATCGAACAAAATCCTAAAAACTTATATCCGCGAAACACAATACAAAACTAAATTACAAATCGATACCTCAAATAAACCAAAAGACACAAGGCACCAACCAAAAAATAAACATATCAATAAATCGATAGCAAATGGACAACCGAAAATCACACCGCCATCTGTCGAACGCTCAGACAACTAAAAGTTACCATCGCCAGGCGACAACGGCGCCAACACTGCCCCCGCTCAACCGACAGGGTTGAGGACACCTAACACTCATCACTTAACACTAAACACCGAATAAAACACTTAACTATCACCGCGCCGCGACAACACTCGGTAACTCAGGTCTGAGCCGCAGTCGGCTCCAGACGATCGCAGTTTAGCTCAGGCTCAGGTCAGCAGTCGGCAGCAGGACTATCAGCTTATGCACCGGCCGCGTCAGAACCGTGCCACCAGTTCTCAGGGACACCTTTCTCACCAAACCGTCCTTGCTCGGAAACGTCTGCGTCACCTTGCCCATGCGCCAATGACCTCTCGGCACGTCCTCATCTATCAGTAATACGACGTCTCCTTGCTCTACGTTCCTAGACTTAGATACCCACCTCTGGCGCCGCTGTAAGGTCGGCAAGTACTCGCGCCTCCATCTGATCCAAAACTGGTCAGCGAGGTACTGGACCCTTCTCCACTGCTTGGCGGAGAACTGCTCGTCAGCAAACCTACCTGGTATGCCTTCACCGCCGCCTCGTAAGAGCAGCAGGTGATTGGGCGTGAGCGGCTCAAGGTTCCCGTTGTCATCGGAAACGTGTGTCAGCGGTCTACTGTTAAGCACTGACTCAATCTCACAGAACAGTGTGCTCAGTCCCTCGTCGTCAAGTCTCTGAGTCGGCATAGACCTCCAAACCTTCCTAAACGTTCGGATGCATCGCTCCCAGCATCCCCCAAAGTGAGACGCAGCAGGTGGATTGAAGATCCACTCAATCCCTTTGGACAGAGCGAACTGCTGCAGCATACTTACATCTAAACTCTCGAGCTCAGCCCGTAGCTCATTGTTGGCCCCTACCATGTTCGTGCCCAAATCGCTCCTTATCCTAAGAATCGGCCCTCTACGCGCTACAATGCGGCGAATCGCATTGATCAGTGAGTCTGTCTCTAACGACTGGAGAACCTCAACATGAACGGCTCTGGTGACCAGACAGGTGCACATAAGACCATACCGCTTGATCTCATGGCGACCCCTTTTCACCATCACTGGTCCGAACACATCTAAACCTACCGACGTGAAAGCTGGCGTGTCCGGCGTCACCCGGTCCTCTGGCAAATCTGACATCATCTGCTGCTCTGGGGCTGCGTTAACCTTCCTACAGGTCACGCAGGATCGCACTAAGCTCCTGACCAGAGGTCCCACCCCCACTATCCAAAATCTCTCTCGGATCTTACTCAGCGTGTGCTCACGACCCTGATGTCCCACTGACACGTGAGCGTCACGCATTACCAGTCTTGTCACATGATGGTTCCTCGGTAGGAGCACAGTACACCTGGCGCTGCTCTCAACTGGGCAGCGGCTCAACCTACCCCCTACGACCAACAGTCCGTCCTTCAGCGTCACGTTCAGCCCCTTGAGGGAGCTCGACTTCACATTTACCGTGCCTTCACGATCATAAAACTCGGGGAAGCTGGTCTCCTGAACATACCTGAGAATGTTCAGCTCAGCAGACCTTAGATCGTCCACGCTCAGAGACGTCCCCAACCCCACTCCCCGAGCGCGCAGACCCCGATCGCGGATCACGCGCGCCCGAGAGAGCAGTCTCCCTTGAGCACCTGAAAGAAACGTATGTACCATGCCACGGCCTTCTTGAGTCTGTACCAAGACGAGAAGTGACTGAGCAGCTTCTCAGTCGCGGACGGCTGCTCGCGACCCGACACTGCAGCCGACACCTGAGGAACCTCAGCGACCGCTGCAACAACAGTCGCAGGTGAGGGATGTCTGATCTCTGGATCGTCAGAATCATCAACTGAGCGCCCCGGCTCACACGGCCAGCTCTCCTCGCTCGCTGAAAGGAAGTCCGGCCCCTTCAACCACATGTCCAAGTCCTCTGGAGTGGATCCACGTGATCCGACATCTGCCGGGTTGGCAGCAGACGGGACGTACTTCCAATCCTCTACCGACGTCCTGTCTCGAATGAAAGTGACTCGGTTTGCCACGTAAGTCTTAAACCGAGCCGTCCTGTTACGAAGGTACTTCAGCACGACTGTGCTGTCAGTCCACAGGTACGAGCTGCTGAAACGAAGGCCAGACTCCTTCACGATCAGATCCCTCAGCCTCGTAGCCACCACGGCCGCGGCTAACTCTAAACGAGGGATCGTTACGAACTTCACAGGGTTCACCAAAGCCTTCCCCATAACAAAGCGCACGGTACACACGACACCACCGTCGTCTGCCGGCGTCTCCGTTCTCAGGAACGCCACTGCTGAGTGACCAGTCTCACTGGCGTCCGAGAAGACGTGAAGCTGACGAACGACCTCACCGTCAGCAGCCCCGAAACATCGGTCCAGGCTGACCGCATCGAGGCGGTTGGCCTGCGCCAACCACTCAGACC